CTCACCGTTAATTGGTATAAGAATGGAACACTGCTTTCTCTTGATACATCGGGATATAAACAAGATATCACCAAGGCTCAGATACAGCTGGATAACACATTCAGCTGTATAGCAAGTCTACAGTTTCAGACCATCACTCAAATGGTGGTGCCACTGCAAGAAATATTAATAAATTATCTATCTAAATGAGCTGTTCCCTTGAGCACCCACCCCCCCCCCCCACCCCCCCCCCCCCCCCCCCACAAAATCCCCCCCTATCCTCCCCCCCCCCCCCCCCCCCTCAACCCCCTCCCCCCCACACACCAAACACCCCCCTTCCCTGGTACAGAACTCCTCCACCAATTCCCACAGCTACTTACCCAGCACTCAGTGTCGGAGAATGGATGGACTGTCATGCAGCAGGGCAGGGAGTGTTCTGTGTGAGGTGGAGAAACGCATTGCCACATGTAAACAAAGGAGACAGCAAAAGAAGCCAGCTCCTGTGTTTACAAATGACAAATTTGAGCACAGGCCTAGTGCTGGAGGTGGCAGTGCTGAGTAGTGCCCTGTTCCAGATGGAAAAAGGCCCTTCTGGCAAGAGTTACACTACTATACTCACTCCTGTCAGTAAGAGGCAGTGAGAAGGGAGAGGCTAAAGCTTCCAATGTGCTCCCTTCCCCCCTCTGCGCAGCAATGCTGCACCCAGAGAAGAAAAAAACAGACACACAGGTGCTTTATGTGCTGATATTGCACCTACTATTCAAAATAATGAGGACCTAAACTGTGACCAAATAGCTCAGCAAAGGGCAAAGCAAAGGATAAACATGAGTCTCCATTATGTCATGCAGACTCCCTTCAGCTGATGTTTTCCCTGTTACTGACTTGTGATGCCTTGTTCTGTGTCTCGGTGGGAAGGTGGACATCTTGGTAGAGTCAGAGCTTTGTAACTTTTAAGCTTCACCCCTGAGGTGGAGGAAGAGCAGATCCACAGAATGAATGAAGCAGAAGCATGAAGATTCTTGCACTGCTGGTCCTCAAGTACAGCATCTTGTGGAGCAAGAATAACAGCAAACTGTACAGTACTGATATCACCAAATATTATCCAAAATAAGTCCAGTTGTGACTGGTTTTCTTAAATGTTTTCCCTGCTTTACCTACTTTAGCTATTAATTAAAAAAATGAATTTTAGCATTTCATTAGACCAGGCATGTCCAAAGTCCGGCCGCGGGCCATTTACGGCCCGGGGGTCGGTTTAATACGGCCCTCCAACAGCCCTCCCTGCTCTGTGTAATGTGGCCCTCCCACGGCCCTCCCTTCTATGGCAGACAGTCTTCTGCTTGAGAGCAGAGGGCAGTGCGCATGCCTGACTGCGGCACGTTCTCCCTGGTCTGTGTAAATGCGGCTGTCGCACGGCCCTCCCTTCTGTGGCAGACAGTCTTCTGCTTGAGAGCAGTGCGCATGCGTGACTGCGCCGCGCTGGGAGCAACAGAGGGCGGTGACGTCAGGGCCAGGCTTCCAGCGTGAAGTGTGTTTCTCTTCCCCTCCCGGCTGCCGAGCAGAGACTTCAGTTCCAGCTACCTTTTTCACCCTTCACATTAGTGCAGGTAAGTTTTTTTTTATTTATTTTCAATACATTGTGAAAACTCAGCTGTCAGTTGATCTTAATGTTATGAAATGAAAAGTATGTCGTTTGCAATTAACTTGGCATAAAATAATTTATTTGCATTTAATTGTAATGGTTCAAAGAATGTTGGGAAAAATGTTCGGCCCTCCACCATGTTCACTTCATCCAATCTGGCCCTCTTTGAAAAAAGTTTGGACACCCCTGCATTAGACTCATCTAAATGGGATTTTTTTTTTGTTGATTTCCAGTGACCCCCACTGTAAACAGATCCTGTGAGATTAACCCTTTGTGAATCTGGGGAAGTGCTCTGCTCTTTACGCCTTAAGAAACCCTCTCCAAAAAACATTGATTTTACGTGGAGCTTTGCTGGATGCGACTGCCAAGACCATCCATCACAGAAAACCCTTCTAGTGAATGATAATGAGGAGATGTTCGGTGTAATCAGTGAGATTAGAATTCCCTCCGTTCATTTAAAGTTTCCCGTACAAGTCACTTGGATGCACGAGTCTATGGCAGGTCCTCAACACTCAGAGCTGAAAATATCAGGTAAGAACATACCTTTAGTTTTAGAAGGCAAAGCCATGAACAATACAGACCACAAACCTAACACTTTTATATCAGCGAAGCATGAGAAAAAAGGTATTATTATATCAGAGTTTGAAACATAAACAACTTCATTGAGGTATCCCGATTCACTGATTAAGCTGTTTCAAATGTAATCTCTTTAGATGACACATATTTGATATCAACATTTAATTGACTGTGGATAACAATAATAATTCAGGCATGGTAGATAAACAATGGAGAAATGAAATTAATTCTGTGCACACGGTTACAATAACTGTGTGTAGCTACCCTGCCCTAAGCAGGCCCCATTTTCAAACTGTAGTTTACTAGGTGGTAAAAAGCCCAAGCTGATTTATAAAGTTGTACTCATTTGGTCTTCCCTTAAGCTCAGTGTTGCTGTTTTTCTTCTGCCTGATGTCAGTAGGCATCCCTGATACCTCATGAAATAGTGGGAGAGGCCACACTAATGCTGGGTTTCAATATTTATGTTCCCTCTGGCAGAACAACTAGGTTTATTACCAGTGGTGCATCACAGGAAAGGACATAAATATCTGGGGCTGACCTCTTGGCTCTCTCCCCCCAAGCTTCAGTTAGGGAGGTGTGCTCTCTGCAGTCTGAACTGTTAGACCTGTAGCCTATATGAAAGCTAACCTGTACTTTGTGCTGGGACCTGGGTTTAGGCCAGAAGTGCTGCTCAGAAACTCTCCTAACTTGTAGAGGGGGAAGCTAAACCAAGCTGGAGAACCAGGAGGAGATACCCTGCTGCAGGAAGTAGCAGGAAAGAAGGTCAATCCTCCAAGGGGCCTGATTACTCTTTTGAGAGAACACATGAAACCGTTTGCTAGCCAACTGGAGAGTGCCATTTATAGTGTTGCCAGTATTGACTTAAAGGCCCCTTTTCACTGTACAAGCTAAAACTATATCTGCAGTCTGTAAGTGCTGCTATGGGTATCTGCAGCTTTTAACCCTCTGGGGAACAGCAAAGCATTAAAATTCCTAAAAATACACTGAAGCGGCTGACTCTCAATTGCTAGCCATGGACTTAGCCCTGGGGTAAAGGTTATCTCACATGCCCCCAGGGTTCAGGGGGTACTACATTTATGGCACCCAACATGGGGTCTGGCAGTATATGTGTTGTTGTTGCCCCTACAACACAACTGCAACTACAACGTTTTGTCATAGCACTGGTAATTGCTTCAAAGATTACCTTCGGCAGTTTGTATTATAAAATGGCTAGGACTGCAAAGGACTTACAGTGGCAAAGGCTAAGATGTCACTAATTGTAATAAGTTTGTCTTGGAGCTCTAAATATGTTCATGAACTAACCTCATAGCTAAACGTTATCTCTTGGTATTCATTGATATCCATACCTAAAGGAGATTTTCACAGATATGACTGTAGGAAGGTTTATGGCTTCCAAATGACATAGCAGTGGACAATCAACCAATTCCAATTTCTTACTTCCGGGAATAAAAAAAAAAAGAACCCTTAAATTAAAATAAAGTCTCAGGGCAGCAACGGTAGATAAACGACAAGCTTGCAGTGCCCATGTCTCTTCCTGGTGATGTGGACATTGCTCATTGTCTGCTGAAGATGTGCAACATCTGGATCCACAGATGGCTCTTTCATTTAAACAGTCTGTGCTGTGAGGTCACAAGGGGCAGTAACAAGACCAGCTGGGAGAACAACGAAGATTGGCAGAGGGCAGCAATAAATCACTGGTCACCATAATCAAAAAAGGTGCCATGAAGAGTCACATGAATATGGATTCAGGAAAGTAATTATGGGGCTTGAAAACTTTTTTAATTCTTAAGGGCTGATTTGCTAAGTACAGGAGGGCGGGAAGAGGATGGGAAATGAGCTTTAAGGAAGGGAAGAGAAGTCTTTATTTCCTTCCCCGAATTGTGTGCAACCTTAAAGCAACCATTTGATTTATTTATCTAGAGAAAAAGGTATTTTCCTATCAACTGTTCTTTAACTACTAAGTAGAACTATAGATAAAAAAAAAATTAATTTTGGATATAGTAAAGGAGGGTTATAACCGCTGTCAGTTTTTTTGTCATCTGCCTCCTATTGGGGAGATTTCCCTTTACTTCCTGTCCCATAATCAGAACTGGTGTCCCCATTTGATTATTTCTCCTCCTATTCTGGCTACGCTACGACCCAGAATTTGGGATTTTCTTTAACTTTCACTACCGGTGATAACAGTAGACAGGGCAATTATAAAGGGCAAATCTTCCTAACGGGGGGGGCACCTAGCAATAACAACCAGACAGGGGTACTAATCTCTCTCCACTCTATCCAAGTTATAAAAACAATCTTTCACTTTAGTTGTGCATTCTCCACAAGCTGACTGATCAAAGCAGTCAGTGACCTCCACTCCTGCCATTCTTTCCAGGTTCCACTGTCCCACGGGCATCACCAGGGACATCACTTCAAGTTTCGGGTGTCACTTTCTTTGGCCACTGTGGCCAGGCAAAAAGCTGATGGATCGTGATCTGTGCTCCATTAGCTTTAAATGATGATCAAGTGACACATTAGGGGTCTAAAAGATGCAAAAACAGTCCTGGCTGTACTATGCAACTTATTAGAGCCCTAAAGGTTTTCTGTGGTGGGGAATATACAATGGTATGAGACAGGTACTTATACTATCAATGCAGTAAAGAGCATTTAATCATTTCTTTATATCACTTGCTGACATGAGCTAATAAATAGTCAGGTCACCTGGACCTATATGTTCTGCTTTTTTCCAGATATTCCTTGGCACCCTCACGTTGAAGCACTAAACACGTCTTATCTCATTCAAAACACTGAATGCAAAATACAGAACAAAATCTCTGGATATTTTCCGGATGATCTGACTGTAAGCTGGCATAGGAAGGAGGCAGGGACAGGTGCCTTTCATGATATCTCTAATACACAAAAGTACAAATGGCACATTACAAAATCCCAGGAGCAGTCAGATCACACATATGCCTGTACAGCCAGTCTGGTGTTCACCCAACGAAAGCAGACCACGGAGAAGACTATATGTGTAGGGTGGATCATCCCAGTCTGGAGCAACCAATAGAGAAGACAACGGGAAAATTACCCCTAATAGGTTAGTATGCTGCTTTGGGAAAAATATTAGGAATGTATTGTTAGCGTTCAGTGGCAGGGAAACTTTTTATTGATGCAGCTTTTATTTTCAGTATGTTATTATTCTAAATAGTAACACTGATAATTATAAAAGTATACTTTTTCATTATATCTAAAGAGCCTAGAGGTGCCAGTGACAGACACAAGCCTAAAGATACTGGGTTAGAAATCTGGCTGATTTCTAGGTAAATTAGGCTCTGTAAGTGGTATAACAAAAGACACATTGACCTCAGAGTTCCTACTTTGACTAGGGTCCTTGAAGAATTCCAGGTATGGATATATATTTAAATAGTTACATTGTTACGGCTTGGACCAGCATAACTATGTGCCCTAGCCACGTGATCCCTCTAGAAGCTAGAACTCACCGTAGTAGACACTGTTACTCTATTATGTCCTGTGGGCAATACCTGGGGCTGTACGCAAATGCATCCTCCATAGGAATTCCCACTCCTACAGACTAACATCCATCAAGGCGTTACAATTTGTATAACTCCTCCCAAGAGCAAACCCACTGCTTCCATCAGGGCTGAGGGTTCTGTAGAGGAGTACCAAGGCAGGGTGCTGTGATGTTTTCAGGAAGCTATCATCCTGCTGACTCCTCCCACCAGCCATGATCTGTCTACATTACATAGAGAAGCATAAGCACCCAAAGGTGACATCACTAGGTCTAAATTAAGGTGTGTAATGAAAATGGAAAGATTTTCTTTGCAAAAATGTCATTAGCAGGGTGATTGGTAGGTGATTGGGAGGAGCCAGGGAAGGCAAAATATAAGCAGATTAAACTTCAAGCTTTAAGAAAAATGTGTAGTCGGAGACAATGCCAAACATGCACCAAAAATAAATTTCATATACATACACTTTATTCTAAATCCAATTTCTGATTCAGATTAAAGGCCCTAGTGATACAATTTATAAGCTAGCTTCAAGTCAATCCAGCACTTGGCAGGGAAAAGTCCACCTCCTCTGCTGATAATGCTGATCTTCCCCATGTTCCTCCAACAACTTGTGCAAATAGCAAAAAGAAGGGCAATGGTGAAGAGTAAGGGAGAAAGTCACATGCGCCTTCATACCCAAATGTACCGGGCATTTCCAACGGTTCTAGAAAGCTAATAGAACAGGTGTAAGAATGAAGGGAAGATTTGGCAGATTTACTTTAGGTTGCAAAGATGTAAGCATAAAAAACATGTTGGGTTTCTTTCTCATTACTGGATCTAAAAAAAAAAATCACAACCTTACATTATTTCTACCAACAACAGATAAATTGAAATATAACTGTTTTATCCATGAAACACATGAATGGTGATGGTTTTTAAAACAGCATTGACCCAAAACCATTATACATTAAAAAAAACATTGAAGAGACACTGTCACTTTGAGCATTCCGAGTAAATGGTCAATGTTCTGCAGACAGCCCAACCCCCATCCCCAAGGATTAATACCTACAGAGTTGCACCTCCATGCTGCCTCACAAAGCTGCCGAAGCCCTTGCTAATGGAATGGGGCATGTAGGTAGGAAGAAGCATTTGACCTCCCTCATGTAGCAGAAATCAGGCCTGAGCGGCCAATCGCAAGGCCTAAACACTGTCACATGGGGGATCAATGACATAATCCCTCTGCCTGAGTGAGTTCTGCCACCAGCCAACACTGCAATTTAGAAGGATGATTCTGCAGCAGAGGGCAGCAAGTGAGCATAGATGAGTAGGTAGAACAGCCTGGGGGCAGGAATTACACTTGACTGAGAAAATGAAAGTCACCCTGATTAGGGAAAATGACAGTCACCCTGGTTAGTAAAATGACAGTCACCCAGATTGAGAAAATGACAGTCACTCTGATTGGGGAAAATGACAGTCACCCTGGTTAGTAAAATGACAGTCACCCAGATTTAGAAAATGACAGTCACCCTGATTGGGGGAAGTGACAGCCACCCTGGTTAGTAAAATGACAGTCACCCAGATTGAGAAAATGACAGTCACTCTGATTGGGAAAAATGACAGTCACCCTGTTTAGTAAAATGACAGTTTCTTTTTAATGAGTAGTGTGCAAAATATTTCCAATAAAATGTGAACATATCCTTACATTTATTATAATACCAGGATGAATCACACTCACAAATTCTTATTATTCTGCAGATCTTGGTTGGAGCCCCCATGTTTTAGAAATAGATACATCTGCTCTAGTTTTCAACGCTGATTGTGAAATACAGTGTAAAATCTTCGGCTATTTCCCAAAAAAACTGACCGTGAGTTGGCAGAAGAAGGAAAAAAATAAGAAAATTGAGCTAACAACTAAATTTGAGAATAAGTACAAGATCCCAGCCATCACACACCAGATACAACCAGATAACACCTACAACTGTACAGCCAAGTTACAGTTCACCCCACTGCAGAGAGAAGACCAGGGGTCAGAGTTCATCTGCACAGTGAAACATCCCAGGCTGAATAAGCCCATAGAGAAAAAATGTAACATTAGCAGTCTTAGGTGAGTACTCTACATAGACACAGTAATTCTATAGTTTTTTATTTGGTTTTTTTTTTTTTTTTGCAGAGTTATTTTTACTCAAAGTGGAACTTGGTTTAACTGGATGGAGATGATTTTAGTCTTTTTTTTTTTTTTCAACCAGATCAACTATGTAACTAAACTGCATATGAGCACCACAAACTAAAAACACTGTTTATTTCATTTTTAATATTCAAAACAATATTGCACACCCTTCCATGTTTCCATGTTTTATTTTGTTGAGAAATCACCTGGAAAAAAACACACCCCTAGCATTTCTGGATGCAGCCATCTTGAGTAGGGGCGAATGATTCATGTAGCATTAACTTCCTGGAATCCATCTGCCCTTAGCTCAGGCATGCAGGCAAGAGGTTGTGCTTAGCTGAGAAAGGCCCTCTGCCACTCCTGAAGAATCCTAGGATTCTTCCTAGTAAAAAAAATTTTCTAACAACTAAATATAATATAACTTTCGCATCATGAGGAGGCATGTCAGCTGAACCACACTGCAGGCGGGCCTCTTGATGATGTCACAATCAATACGGTGGCACAGGACCAGGAGGTGACAGAAGACAGTAGGATTTCAGCGGGACTACTCTGGTTCCTCTTGGTGGGTGAGTATCAGAAATGTGCACAGCAGACCATCTGGTAAGCCTGGGGGGTGAGCAAAGATCCACTTCAGTGGGCAGTGGGAGAAGGACACTTGCATTGTTGACCAGTGCAAAACTGCTCCTCTTAGACACAGCTAAGAAAGACAGCTGATATCAGTGTTTACTGGGAGGTAGAAACTCCTAATTGCTAAAGGAACCCTTAGCAACCTTGGAAGCAACCCTAGAGTTCCACAGAACCCTGGTTGAGAAGCCTTGTAAAGTAAAGTGTAGTCACCTTTGACACTATGATCCTCAGAATGGATCTCTCATCACTTTTTTTTCCAATTGGCAATGGTCACCAGGAGAAATAGAAAGGAAGAATCTTTGTAAGGGAAGGCAATAAAATACTTCACAGATGTCCTAACCCTTGTACATGGTATTCAAATTTGGAAAAAAAGGGGCTAGAAATATACTTTATTCGTTGGATAAATCCTTGGTGCAGCATGCCTACTACATAAATAATCTAAAAATGTTATACCCCAATGGGTTCTACAGGAGAAAGAAATGTTATATCTAAAGAATGTTAAAATGTCATAAAGTGGTGATGGACATACCGTAAGTCATTTATTACATATACAGAGTAAGAAAACTAAAATTTCATAAAGAAAGGATTCCACAAAGCACAGATCCGTGTATAGTGGAAGTGAGTATACAGCATTAATAATGTTAAAGAATTCGCTTTTACAAAAAAAAAATAATAAATGCACATTTTTTCCAGGTAAAAAATATGCATGTATTTTTTGTTAGGAGCCTGTAAAGCATTGCACCCATGATCAGCAGACTGTGGGTGTAATGTCATGGTCCTGCAGATGGTCTATGTAACTGTCGGCCTGTACCTCTGATACAGGCAGGCAGTTACTGAATGACAGGAAGCTCAATGAACAACCAGAGCACCCAACAGCTCCTGGTAGTTCATTGAGAACTATGAGCCGACAACTGAAAAGGCTGTCTGTACTTGTAGTTTTCACATTCATAGAACCCTGTTAATGAATGACGTGGCCGGGCAGCCAGAACGCCCCATGGCCATGTTTTTTTTCAGATTGTGACAACGAATGTGGGGATAAGATCCTCTGCTCGCCATCAAAACAGGGGATTGGGGGGCTGCGGAGACTGGTGCATCTGTTACATGTTACACCCTGAATATTGGTGTAACGTAACCTGTTACAAAAGGTGAAATTATCATTTAAGTTTCAGAAAAGATATTGGTTGCTGAATTCTGGTGGCATTCTACAGCAGCTATTCTCAGCCATGGTTCTGTGGAGTCCTTGGGTTCCTCCAGAGGTTGTTGGGGTTCCTTGAACTGTGGCTAATTGACCTCCTATTTGATGGTTGCTTAACCCGTGGCCCTCCAGCTGTTGCGGAATTACAAGTCCCATGAGGCATTGCAATGCTGAAAGTTAGAAGCATGACTCCCAAAGGCAGAGGCATGATGGGACTTGTAGTTCTGTAACACCTGGAGGGCCACAGGTTGATGGTGCTTGCATGGATCCAGGATGAACACTAATGATCTTTTTAGCTGCCAGTTATGAGGGTTTTCTTCTCAATGATCACCAACATAAGGAGGGATTTTTGCCAGTGATCCCTAATGAATTGGTTGTAGCAGGGGTTCACCGAGGCTTAAAAATTATTTTAAGGGTTCCTCTGGAGTGAAAAGGTTTAGAATGGCTCTACAAGTTCGTTATACAGTAGTTCATTTATTTTTTTTTTCTCTTCCTCAGAGATGGTCAAAGAACAAAAAAATAAGTTTGGCCAGTTTGGTGTGAATCCTGATCCTACTACTGCCAGTTCTTCTGTGAGCATGCAGCAGCCTTGAACTGGTGATCACCTATCAAGCTTTTCAGACTCAACACCACATCTGACAATGGGTGTCAGACAAGCGTGATGTTACATTCCTCATAGTTCAAAACACCACATGAGGCATTGTGGGACCTAGACATGCTTTATTTGTAGTCCAGCAGGATATATATAATTAGTATTCTATATGTAGATAGGGAGAGAGAGTATAGCTAGTTATACACTAGTAGAATTTCATTCAAAATGTTTTATCTTAAGAACGTTTGTTTGGTTTTTGTGCTAGTGAGATCAAATTGACATTCAACCACAGTGACTGGAAAATTTGAAGGAGCAGGATGGAAAATTTTTCTCAGTCGAACACATTTCTAACAGTGGATGTGGTTTTCATTTGGTCCATTCGAGTTTTAAAAGCAAAAGTTGTAAGCTCTTTTGAACATTTGTCAAGCCAACAAATATGTAGATGAATATTTGTTCACAAAAGTCTACTAGTGTATGGCCAGTTTAAGTTACACATAAGACTTCATCTGCCAAACGGGACACCTGAAAGTGTGTAAAATGCTTACAAATCATTCAAAACACACGGTTCAGGTAAAATGGAATTTTCATTGTCAAATATGCTAAGGCAGGTAAGTAACAGCAGTGCAAAAACCATAGAAGGCTTCTCTACATCAGCTTTGCCCTTTGAAGAGTAATCCGCGCAGGATTGCTTTTCAGAGGGCATTTGACAGGCAGTGAGGAGAAGTTATGTCACCTCCTCACTGACTGTTTCAACCCCTAAAAATCCACACCGCTGCTCTGCAACCACTTGCACTGCACACAGGATCCCCCTTCAAAACGCGTCAGCTTCATTCTGAGAGTCTCCTCTCTCGATGGGACCCGCACCTGTCTGCTATTCTAGTACGCTGATGTTGGACCTTATATGCTTTTACCTATGCTACTTTTGTGAGTGTATATCTCAATTTAATAAATTCACTTACTGAGGTAATGCACAAGGTTGGTGCGCTTTTGTTTTTGTTCTCAGTTACAGTGGTCTTATGATCAGAAGCTGACCCTAGATCAGGGAGCTGTCTTTGTCAGCTCGGTCACTGATAGACATGTACAGAGCATAAAAATGTATTTAGTTTTGTTTTGTGTAGGGTGGCTACATTCCTACATACAGTGGGACCAGGGAGAATGTAGTCACCAGCAGCAAAAAAATTGTACATATGGAGGAGAACAATGGAAAGGACTTTATACAATACATACTGGAATAAAATATATTTTTTATTGTCACTTTCAGCAAAGTGAAATGGACATTTAGATCAAACTATGTGAACTTTAGTACAATTTAAAAAAATAAATATTTAAAAACATTTCCTACTGAGAGAACTACTGGATTCTATCAGAGATATCTGGATTCTCATCATTTTATATACAGGGTAGCTCTTTTTCCTTTTGTACATTATTTATACTCCTTCTAAACTATTAAGGTGGACCTCCACCAATTAAAATAACTGTTTTCCTCCTGGCTCCTCACCTTCCCTCTCCCTGTCCCATAATTGGACAATATTTCTTAATGTTTTAAAAGGTTTCTAACCTTTTAGTGCTGTAGTGCAGCACTTCCATGTTTTCTCACTGACATAGGGTCTTGTTACACATCCCAGGAGGACCATGCGCATTGCACAGTTCTGCATGTGTGCAGATGCGCAGCGGGTATTTGTACCCTGGTGAAGACCTTTAGCAAATCTGCGCACACATGCAGACATTGTGGGTATCAAGATACCAGTGATGTGTGGCAAATGCCTGGTCAAATATACCATAGGTCTTTGCTGGGTCACAGGGACTGGGAAGAGACCTTCAGCACATACGCACATGCGAAAGATTTTCAGAGATGGCATGGGACCATAAATCAGGGGACTGAAGAACTCCTCATCTACCAAGGTACGTTTATAAGCAACACGGTATAGAAGGGGTTAACGCAAGTTAAAGCAAATTGCTGCAGCTGTGAGCTTGGTATAGATTTTAACAGCTGGAGAAGAGCTCTCAGACAAAAAACGATCACCTACATAGGGCTCTGAAGATGTGCCCCCCCACTTACCCCACCCCTAGTAGAGGTTCCTGGGCTTTCTTTCTTCTCCAGGGAGAACAGCACAGTGGGAAATTACTTCTACAGTGAGAGCAGGAGGTGACTGGAGAACATCTGTTTCCTGATCTGCAGCAACTGTGGACTGCAGAAGGGACATGTCGCATCTGCCATCCCTCGACTGTCATTCCTTTGCTACTGTAACTGAGGATGCAGCTAATTAACCATGATCACTGATTGATTAGTTGCAGAAAAGGGAAGAGGAGA